GTCTGTCACAAATGACTCATTAGTTTGGCGGCAGGAGCAGACATGATCCGTTGAAGACAATATATACCTGTAGTAGTGCATGGGAAAATACTTGCAATAACGATGTTGCAAACATCATGTTCGAAATATCACTTGTAATGGCAATGTTGCAAACATCACACACAAAATAGCACTTGTAATGGCGATGTTGCAAACATCACATGCAAAATATTGTTTTTTGGTAACAATATAACACATTCATACTTATATTGTCGTGGTGTGATTTACATATATACTCGAACCTGTGTACAGGATGGTATAGAGATGCGGTGGAACTTATTCGTGGATTTATTGGCGCACGAAAAAAATGGATATCGGAGATTTCTTCTGCCGATATAAAACATTATCTTAGCTGCATCACGGAAATGTTTATACAGTAGAGTTTATGAGCATGCAACGCCACACTCTCCGTGACTGTGTTAATTTCACGAACTTTATGTTTTGGATTAAATATGACTTTAACGTCGGTATTTAATTTCACAGTATTGTTATCTTATCGTGTAATCTGTGTGTTTTTAGTATAAAAGTTTAGCTGTCCCGTAGCACGCATGGGCACGAACCTAGTCAATACTTAATTCTTAGTTTCACGTTTAATACAGGTTTTACGACAGGCTTGTTAACAAAAGCAGAGATTTTAAATGGCAACATGATTTCTATGCATTTTATATGGCAAGAGAAATATGATTGATTGATTTTTAACAAATACCGCCCATGTTCGCTTGGCTTATAAGCCGTATTTTTCAGCCAACGAACAGTATTTTTCTCTTACAATAAATCAACGAACAATACTTTCAGTCATGCCTTATGAGCCAAGCGAACAAGGCATACAATCATGAAACTCGGAGAGACCAGATTGCAGCACATGACAAGCAAATCTTTTGCTAGACAATTGTTGTAAAAGGCATGTGATCCTATCTATGAGTTACCTGAAGAGTCAAAACAAACCAAGATTATAAAAATAATTACAAAGATTTATGACATCAATTTGGCACACTATGAAAATATAATTAACGAAGAATCTATTGATACTTAATTGGTACCATAAATTTAAATATTATTATTTTATTATATAAATTTAGTCACACTTAAGATGCTTTTTAACTCTATAATTTGAGAGGGAGGGAGTACATTCTAAAAAGGCCCTAAATATTCATTATTCATGAGATGGGTGGGCCCCTCCGACGACGCCTGTGTTTCTAATGGTCTAAAGGAAGCACGCTATGTCATGTTTGGATCATGCTTAATAGGACCCGGGCCATGCTGTGTTTGGATAATAGGCCGTCCCATACCACCCGTTGGGCCTGGCACATCTGCTTCATCTTCTATAGCAGCCCAATGATGAATTTTATCGCACAGGGTCCGCCGACCGCCGAGGCCCTAAAGAAAACAGACGGCTCGTGGTTCGAACCCAGGACCGCCGGCGACCCTCCGCCCGCCACCGCCATGCTCCGTCGCCTCCCCCCTCTCGTCCGCGCCGCCTCCCAGCTCCCCTCCCTTATCCACCATGGCAACTGCCGCCTCCTCCTCTCCACCTCCCCCGCCCCTTTCTCCCTCGAGGCGTACCTCGTGGCCTCCTGCGGCCTCACCCGAGCCCAGGCCAGGAGCGCATCCAAGAAGACGCTCGCCGAGGCATCCAAGTTGTCCGAGAGGGCGTTCAACGATCTCTCCTCCACCCGCCTCCACTCCGGCTTCGATCCCGACGCCGTCCTCGCCCTGCTCTCCAACATCGGCCTCTCCCGCGCCGACATCGCCGACGTCGTCGCTGCCGACCCGCTGCTCCTCTGGTCCCGGGTGGACAGACTCGAGCCAGGCATTCTCGCCCTCCGCGACCGCGTCGGCCTGTCCGTTCCCCAGATCGCCCGCTTCCTCGTGCTCGGCTCCTGGGCGCTCCGCAAATGCGGCGACGTCGCGCCCAAGATCAAGTTCTTCGTCTCCTTGTACGGCTCGTTCGATCAGTTCCTAGTGGTCATGAAGAGGACCCGAACACTTCTTGCCAGGAACGTTGATAGGGTGATCAAGCCGAACATCGCCCTGTTTCTCCAGTGTGGCCTAAGTGTTCGAGATATTGCCCAGCTGTCTTCGAGGAAGACCTGGCTGCTTGAGTCCAGCCCAGAGCGTGTGAAAGAGTTCGTGCTGCGCGCGGAAGAGCTTGGGGTGCCCCGCAGCTCGGGAATGTTCAAGCAAGCGTTGGCTGCTGTAGCCTGTACAACCAAAGAGAACTGTACTGCCAGGCTTGACTTCTTCAAGAGTAGTCTTGGCTGCTCCAAGAGTGAAGTTGCTACTACTGTGTCCAAGAAGCCAAGCATTATAGCAATATCTGACGAAAGTCTTCTCCGCAAGATTCACTTCTTCATCAACGAGGTTGGACTGAATCCACAGTCCATTTTGCAAAGGCCTGTCCTCTTAACATACAGCCTGGAGAAGCGACTAGTCCCTCGGCATTGTGTCATGAAGGCCCTGCTGGCAAAGGGATTGCTCAAGGGAAATGTCAGCTTTTACACATGGGCTCAAATGGGAGAGGAGACTTTCAGATTGAAGTTTGTCGACCCTCACAAGGACTCTGTTACTGGGCTTGCAGATGCTTATGCCACTGCACGTGGTGGCAGTGTGGCCCCATAATTCAGCTTTAACATCAAAGTGTTTTAATATTCTCAGTATTATTCAGGCAGATGGTAGAATTTCTACTCATGCTCATTGGGAACTGCCCATGCTACAGACTGCTTTTGGTTTCTGTAATGGAACTACTGATCTTTAACTGCTCATAGTCCCAGTTCAGGATTTGGTCATATATGAGAAACTGGTTTCAACTATTCTGGGTCCTTACTGTTTGAGTGTAGTAGCAGACTAGTAGTCACTTCTTTTGTCTAGCACATGACTGAAGCTTATTCTCAAGTTAGTTGTTCTTCTGCAGATAGGTCCTTATTATACTTAAGCTACTAGGAATTTGTCATTCTTAGCTTGCTACTAGGAATTTGTTCACACTAGTCACTGATACTTCTATGAAGCTTGCCTATTTCGTATTTCGTTGAATTCGTTACTCTCACTTCTTCTGTCGTTTACATTGAATTACTTCATTGAGGCTTGGCTAGGCTGTGGCCAAAATTTCTACAGAGAAGGAACTCTCTAAAAACGTTAGTGTAAAAAACTGTGTTCTGAGGACTGATGAAATACTCATACTTTCCATCAAACTATGTTGTTACCAAGGATATTAGCCCAATCGGCAAAGGTGTTTGCCTGTATGTCCTCGAGGGAATGAGTTACTAATAGTAATAGGCAGGTTGTTTTATAATTCTATCTGCTAAAAGCAGTTTAATTTGCATATCAACATATGAAAAGTTACATTGATTCACAACACATATGTTTGAGGTTACTAGATTAATCGTGCGAGACAACTTTCTTAACAAACATTTTTTCACTATTTAAAGTGGTCTATAAAAGAATTACAAGTCAAAGTACCTCGCATGGGAAATTGTGTTGTCACCCTGAATGGTTTATATTTGGAATAAAAGGAAGTAGACATGAGTAGTTTGTAACCATGCTAATCACCACAAAAAAAGTTATTGGTATGATGTTGACATGACAACTATGGCCAAACCTTGTTGAGAGTGTACTTAACCATCAGAGTACTCAGTGTGGTGTTTGATTAATGGTCAGGAGCTGCATCATCTGTCTTGATGGAGCAGGAACGACAGCACACTGGAGGCACACAGAACCAGGAAAGCAGATTTTATTGACTTTGAATAAAATAGGTGGATGTAAACAAGGTAACACTTTCCTTCTAAACAGATTTCAATTTTGTAGGGCTCAATCTCAAAGCAGAGGCACCAGCGATGGGCAAATGCGGCTGCCGCCTGCACATACAAATGGGATTTGGTTTGGTTAACTTGTCTAAAAAGCAACAATAAGTAATATAAAAGTAGAGATGGTAAGGTCGAAGACATGGTTGTAAGAACCAAGAACACAGCAGCTGTTAAGCACACAATCCTCATCGTGTTGCTCTTGATGGCTCCCATGAGCAAGAAACTATCACTACTATTTTGCTTCCTTATTTTTTTCCCCTTAGGAGCAAGAGGACTGCTTGTATCTGTATAACTTCTATGTTTAAGTGCTGCAAGTGTTCATATACAAGCATGGCCAATCAATATGCTACATGTCTATGTATTATCTCACAATTAAATGTCCTTGTCATAATATCGCACACTAATATTTTGATATCCCAAGACTAGGTTTCGACATCTTCGTAGACTCCAATAAATATGTGGGCATCCAAACCAATCTTATGTACAATGTTAGACTCAACAAATACTTGATTACCGAAACCAATCCAAGTACAATATATATGTACCATAATTGCTTATGTCTCTGAGCAATCTATAAGTTTTTGCTCTCGCCACTTGGAGTCAGGATGTTCTCAGATTACAAATTAATGGCGTTGCCTTTGCAGTCTTGTCCTGTTGTCCTTTATGCATTATTGGACTGCTGGTAGCATACATGACAGGCATCTTAATCTTACTGTGTGCAGATAAGACATGGGTCAGGTTTTCGGTTTAGTGCAGGTTGATCAGCCAACTGTGTCCATCAAAGAAAATTTTGGCACCTTCAGTGAGGTCCTGGAGCCTGGTTCCCACTTCCTACCCTGGTGCATATGGCAGCAGATTGCTGGTTACCTCTCCTTGTGTGTGTGCCAGCTCGATGGATGTTCACTGTGAAACAAAGACAAAGGTTTTCTCCATTACATTCTGTTTTATGTCTGACTTGTGCTTTTCTGAAGCTATTGGCATGATCAAAGAACATTTCTGTGAAGCTCCAGTATAAGAAGGCCGTTTCAAAAAAAAAAAAAGCTCCAGTATAAGAAAGAACCTTTCTGAACTCTATTGCCTGGATTGACAATGTCTTGTTCACTGTTATTTGCATCTGTCTAATATGCTCTTGTTGATAAGGCACCTGACGCCTTCTGCAAAATGAACACCACCAGGGAGCAAATTCAGTCGCATGTATTTGATGGTAAGTGTTCCCTCTGTTTCAAATTGTATTTTATGTGTTTATTATGTCATGTATGCTATCTTGTACTAGCGCTTGTCCTGTCTCCATTATTCTGTATTTGATCTCCTCAAGTCCTTGCATACCCTATGCCAATTGACTGTTTTTAATTCTTGCTAATATATCGAGATAATGTTTACCTTCTTGTAATATGCTCGTTAGCATTATTATTTAGTTTTTTATCAGTGCCAGAAGAGAAAATTATGTTTCTATACTGCACAAATCAAATGAACCAGTTCCATTGCTCTTCATTGCTTATTCCAGTCATCAGAGCTACTGTTCCAAAGCTGGACTTGGATGGTGCATTTGAGCAGAAAAATGATATCACAAAAGCTGTCGAAGAGGAGCTTGGAAAGGTTTCTGTCAAGCATTTGCTTTTGTTTAATTGTCGTGTTGAATTTGCTTTAGAGCATGTAGAATCTTTTGACTGATCTGGCTTGTTTGTGGTGTAGGCTATGTCTATGTATGGCTATGAGATCGTGCAAAATGCTGATTGTTGATATTGAGCATGATGACCGTGCCAAGAGATCAATGAACAAGATCATTGCAGGGAAGTACTTTACCTTTCATATAAGTATTGCATCAGATTAAATTGCCAATACAACATTTGCTCAGCCACAAGCATCTACTAGTTATATCGATTAATCTTACATCTGGTTGTATGGCACAGCTGCTAGAATGAGGGTGGCAACCAGTGAGAAAGCTGAGGCTGAGAAGATACTCCAGATCAAGAAAGCCGAAGGAGCGGCGGAATCCAAGTACCTGGCTGGTGTGGATATTGCAAAAAGAGATCCAACCTAAGAGGAACTATACGTTTTTTCATTAAGAGAATATGCACCCAAATTCACGCCTAGGACTTGAACCTAGGTGGTTGGGTCTTGGGTGCATGACCAAACCTCCATCCAACCAGTTGAGCTAGACTCACTTCCTCTGGTGTGGATATTGCAAGGCAGTGTCAGGCCATTGTGGACGGGCTGAGGGACAGTGTTGTCGCCTTCTCAGAGATCATTCCAGGCACCACTGCCAAGGACATCATGGATATGGTCCTGGTTGTGGTGAGCTTTACTACATTCATATGCTCCTGAATTTTGCCAAGTCTACATCCTATGAGGATCTTCGAACTGTTGCTGGTGTTATGTACCCAACATTTAAGATGCTTCTCCGGCACTTGGCCTTCTTGGAGACGACAATGAGTGGTGTGAGGCTCTTAGAGAAATATCTATCTGGGGATTAGCTGCTCAAATGGTCAGCTTCTTGTTACTATATCCTTTTTGCTCTGTTTGTGATGCAGCCTCCTTGTTCTCTGAGTTCTTTACCTATTTCACTGATGATATACTCCATAAAATCCAGATGATGCTACAGTTACCATCCTATACGGTTCCAGAACACCATCTTAAAAACCATGTCTTAGTAGAGCTAGATAATTTATTCAGTAAGAATGGTGCGTCAATGACTGACTACGGTGTACCGAAGCCTGATCTCAATCTTTGTAATACGGTGAAAAATAGGCTGCTAGCTGAGGGATTGATTTATGATCCTGTCAATCTCCTTCATATCCATGATAGACTTGTGAACCGATTAAGTTTTGAGCAAAACCATATATATGACGCTGTCACACAAGCAGTTTACGAAAGAATTGGCCAATGGTTTTTTATTTATTTATGGCTATGGTGGAACTAGGAAAAACAATTCTCTTGAATGCAGTTATTTCACGCCTACTTTCTGAAAAACTTATTGTTCTTGCTGTAGCCTCTTCAGGGGTTCTTGCTCCCTGGAGGATGTACTGCACATTCTCAATTTAAAATTCTGAGAGTTGTTGATCAGTCATCGGTTTCTGAAATAAAAGGTCAATTTCTAGATGATTTAATAGTACATTCTTGGTAAAGTGGACTCTTCCAATTTCTACAAGATCTTTGGTGTGGAAAGACAGTGTTACTTGGTGGAGATTTCTGCCAAGTATTACATATTGTTGAAGGTGGGAGCAGATCTGACACCATAGACGCATCCATAACTAATCTTACATCTCAAAGCATGTTAAGAAATTTAGGCTTACAGTAAACATGCATCTACTTGCCATGACAAATAGTAGTAGTTTGTCTACAGAACTAGTGAACGAATTGAATGGTTACGTGTTAAGTATCAGAGATGGTACTGCAGAAGGTATGGTGCATAGTGATGATGGAGACTCCCGCACGATGTTTTGGTTCCAAGGTTAGAGTCAGCCATATCAATGATATAATAAGATCTACATTCCCAAGCTTGGAGATATAATAAGGTCTGTTGTGGGAAGATCTACACTCCCGCACTATGCAGATATAATAAGGTCTGTTGTGTTTTTTATGTATAGAAAATGTCAGTGTAAAGGCTTGCTTATTGTACATTTCTTGTTCCTCGATGAGCAATGCACTATGCTTGAAAATGTGTGAAGCATGGCAGCATGCATGTGTACTTTGACAAGTCTAAGAAAAGCAGATGACGGCTATCACTTTGGGTTGATTGCAAGAATCCTATATCTGCATTCATGTGACCTATATTTTCAGCGTGCTTGGTGGACCAGGGATGCAAAGAGGGAGGGATTGAGTCAAACTATACAATCCTATGTTTCTAAATATGCTAAAAAACTATTTTGATTAGTGACGTGCCAAATCAAGTGTTTCATATACCAATTAAAAAATAAAAGTGCAACAAATAAAAGGAGTATATGCTAGATAAGTCTTATACAAAGGGCATCCAGTCTAAGCCATATATACAATGGCATCATAAATACTTAATGGAGAGACTGCAGAAATGAGTAGTGAACAATTACTACCTATGTCTACCTGTGTAGTTGAAATTTTGTGTTGGTATACAGAAAATATGACAGCCTAGCATTTAAGATGCGTTCATAGCATCTATGATTTACTTATATATTTTACCTGGATGATAGATGCACAAACAGATCTGATGCTCCCTAATAACCTTATGATGATTTATTATTTCTTATTATAGCTGAACATGCATATATATACTATCTATGTGAACTGGTAATATAAGCCAGGGGTAGTATACTCCAGTATTTTGTTTGGGACCTTAATCTTGTTCCTTAGGTTGGTAGAAAAACGATTAAATCCTGAAATTTCCTGTAACATTCCCCCTCTTCCAAACATGCCCAGCAGGTCCTTTGAATGTATATCATTTATATATGTGGACACCTATAATAAGTAAAAGAACTGACCTATATATGCATGCTAGCTCATCCACCATCTCATCTGAACGGAATTCTTTGCATTATCCGAGGTACAACTCATTTACTAGATAAGAGAGGATAAAGTATTATATCAACTACTGGTTACATTGTAATTTATATTTTGGTATTGTAAATTTATAGTGCCTCAATAAAAAATAAAGTGGGCCCTGTTTTCACTCAATAACTATATGAAAATATGTTATGTTATATATCGATGTGCAGATGCACTAGAATGGTAGGTACACATACAATTGGCATGAAGCTCTACACCTCACGTCACTGCTACCATGTCCAGGCCATAATTTCAGGCGCCACGATGTTCTTGTCTTGACATGCTGTATATCTTTTACCCAAGGACAACCAGTCACTACTCCAAAGTCCAAACCGTTTTTCTCCCGTCGGCCCAAACAATCCCTTGCGGCATGGCAGCCATGGTCAGGGAACGTGGAGCTCTCCTGACGTGGCGCAGAGGACCGACTGGGATTCCAAACGCACCGACGGGGACGTCCACTCGCGCGCTCGATAAGGCAGTAGAGCTAGCCGAACAAAAGAAAACCACATCTGAATATAATGGTGGTCATGCGCTATAGGAATCTTATCAAGGATCTAACATTGGATTAGCTATATCTAATCTCCCAAACAAAAGAAAACCACATCTGAATATAATTATGTACCCCTTAGATGAATTGATGGACACACATATAGTTGCAAGTGCCTACATTGAAATGAACCATGGATGTGGAGAAACATTACCATTTGTAGCAAAAAAAAATGGTTATTCCACTCGTAGAGTGGTGAGTGGTTCCTATTATTTAAGAGCATTATACACATTTCAAATGTGAGTGGAACATATTTATGACCACAGATGAGATTGCATAAAGCACCGCATAGTCTTATGGAACAAACAATTATCAATGATGTGAGAAAACTCATTTTTATACCACTGACATGAGATACAAGCATAGTAGGGAGACATCGTTCATAGAACAGAGGCTCTTTCCCATTAACAAGGACTGCTGAGAGGAGTCGAAACTAACCATACATAACACTACTGATAGCAGTACCAAAAATTATACACCAACCTATAAATTGTAAGGCATGCATAAGAGGCAACTTAGTCATAATTATGCATTGCAAAACTTGTTTATAGCAGTAAGTGTAGGTCGATTCACATAGCGTTGCCAAGTCATAGCCTCAGCAATATTCTCTAAACCACTAAGATGCGCCCTTATGGTTTTTGTGGAACTAAGAGAATAAAATGGCCATTTTCAAACATCAACCATATGGCAACTTTTTTTCCCCACTTTTGCTCTTGCATCATAGTAGTTTTTACGCCCCATGAAACTCTTGGATACCAATGGCCTTGCCCATCCTGGCTTACTGGACATATCTGTTAGATGTATTGAGATAATTCTTGAGCCCCTTGATCAATTCAGCATCCACCATTTCATCAACACAGACAATTTAGGTATTCATTGAGAATGAACGCATTTGCATCGATCTAAAGGAGGCAACATTGATATCGTAAGTATGGTCAATAATCAGATGTTATAAAAGGATTGGCAAGGGGTGAATCAAAATACTCCTTCCATTCTCTTTTATAAGAAGCAATTTGATATGACACGGTCTCCCACATTTCACTTTAACCATTTATTTATTTTATATTATATTGTTTATACTTATAAACATATGATAATTAGATAGTATATTTAATTACAAGTTTAACCGTATCAAGTTTGTATTATAATGATTAAAATTATTTGCCAAATTATTGATCAAAGATTTTAAAGTCTAAATCTTGGCACGTGTGTGCGCCTTATAAAAGAGAATAGAGGGCGTAGTCAACAAGGAGTCCACGTATAAGTGAGTTGGATCCACCTACAACAACAATAGGCATAAGACCACACCCTTGCAATGGAGTTTGCGGTTACTGTTGCAAGAGATCAAAACAAGGATATATGAAAGTCGCTATTAGTGGCAGAAATAGCCCCAATAAGGTGATGAGGAATACCACATTGATCATGTACACTCACCTTGTTGGTGGCGTCAAGACCAAAATAAATTTACATTGTGTCAGTATTTATCACCTCACTAGCAATGGCCTTGGCCGCCTCAATTGATAGATTGATCTTGACCTGTGCCCATAGCACCCATGATTACCACTAGCTTATTCGCGAACATTTGGAAAAAAAAACTCTAAGAAATAAAATCTCTCGAGATAAGTTGTAGAAAGTGCATCAAGGCATAGAGTTATAAGAAAGGAGAAAGTACATC